ATGCCATCTGCTGGTCCCTGGCGTGATATGTTTTTGACAGTGAAGTTTGATAATGCGTGCAGATTCCAGAGCAGAGGCTGTGTCTTACTCATCTCTGCAGTTGCCGTGCCAGGCATGAAGCTTGTCACAGATGAGGCTCTTACTCATGTTTGCCGATGGATGAAGGGGGGGGTCGATGTGATGCAGCCTCAGCCAGCCCACAGGATCCCGGGCACCACGGTCCCAACTGGCATCAGCCACAGTGGCCCCTGGTGGATGTGCAAGGCGGAGGACCAAGAGCCTCGCACCCCTCTCGGCACTGGTCCCTAAGGCCCTCCTGAAGGATCTGTCTGATCTCACCACGTATGGAAGCATTCCCACCTTAGGACAGTGCCAGGAGCCGTGCAGCGGCCACTCCCAGGCTTCACCTGCGAGGACAGCGTTTGCTCTGCTTCTGGCTCATCCCCTTAGCATCACGTTTTCAAGGTTTGTTCGTGTTGTGACCTGAGTCTGAACTTCATCCCTTTTTATAGGGTGTGTGCGCTCGCCAGAGAGAGACGGAGAGATCACCCCTGGGGGTTCGTTGCACTGCAGTCCCTTCTCCTCCATTTTCCTTTCAGGATTTTGGGCAGGTATGCACATGTGCTCGGCGTGATTCTCAAGTTGCCAGGTCCAGGACTCCAACTGTGAGGCTGGCCACGTGGGGCCCAGGGCCTTCACCTCCATGCCACCTCTGGCCCGACTTCTGCCCTTTTCATGGTCAGGCAGTCTTCAGCCATGTGGGTGTGCCACGTTTCGTGTATCTGTTCATCAGCTGGTGAACTTCGCGTCGCTCCCGCTTTTCGGCGAGCGTGAATAACGCTGCTGTGGACATTCACGTACAGGCTTTCCCGAGAATGTCCGCTCTGTTCTTTCCGGACAGTGCCGTGTCACGTGTGAGGAGCTGCCGGGCTGCGTTCCAGAGCAGCGGCACCCCCCACGCTTTGGCCAGTGAGAGGAGCCCAGTCCTCCAACCCTCACCAGCCTTGGTGCTGCCCATCTGTTGGCTCTTGCCATCCAGGTGGGCTTGAAATAATATTACCTTTTCAGTACCAGCAGATGCCGTAACGGTTACATTGCTGGACTCCGACATAGTCGACCGTGGTTCGAGTCCTGGACCCTGCGACTTAAAACTCATGCTGGGTGCTGTGTGTGCATGTCCAGAATCCCTATGTTCACATGATGAAGAATGGGAGGATACGTTACCTGTCAGGTGCTTCATTGTAAGCAGGGTTTGTGAGAGTCCAGGCTGCTGGATTGAAGGCCCAGGCTGGTGCTCCAGCTCCCCCTGCCACTTCTGATCTAGGGCTGTCCCAGTGTGAGGGCGCCGTCCCCGACTCAGGGCTGTCCAGTGAGGGCGCCGTCCCCGACTCAGGGCTGTCCAGTGAGGGCGCCGTCCCCGACTCAGGGCTGTCCAGTGAGGGCGCCGTCCCTGACTCAGGGCTGTCCAGTGAGGGCGCCGTCCCTTACTTAGGTGGCAGTCCCTCGGCACTGGCCGAGATCACCGTGTTATCTCCCAACATCTTTCTGTTGCGTTCAGCACACAGTGGGCGCAGTTGAAAGTCCCGGAGACCCCAGGGCTGTGATGAAGGTCACCTCTCCTTTGGGGACCTCGTCACTCCTCAGCAATGGCAATGGCTCACGGTGCTGGGACCTCGTTCTGCAGCTGGACTGGGGGCTTCTGTGATGCACAGGCTGTCTTCCTCCGAGTTTAATGTCCGCGGGTCATAGACCCAAACACAAGGCCTTTGCTGAAAACTTCGGAGAGCATTGTGTGCACTGGGGCAAAGGTCTCGTAGGCAAGGACACAGGACACTGACCAGGAAAGGGACAAATCCATCATGTCCCGGGGAGATGCCAGCACCGGGGGTATTTGCACACACGCGACTAAGGCCCTCCACTCCGAGTACGTGCAGGGCTCCTGCAGGAAGACAAATGATCCAATTTAAAAAACTGTCAGAAGATTTGAACAAACATTCACAAAGGAAGATATAGTGGCCAGTAATCATACTGAAAATATTCTGCATCTTCAGTTATCAAGGAAATGCATACGGAAGCCACCAGACAGCTAAAATAGAAAGGCTGATCACATCGAACTTGGGGAAGGGTGGAGCAGTGGTGACTCACCTGCACTCGCTGATGTGAGCGTGAATCGATGCGACACCTGGGAAGGTCAGGTCATCCTGCCCGGGCGGGGGGATGGCGGAGACTCCACATGCCCCCGACAGCATCCCTGGGGAGGGCACAGGGCGCCCGACTGCTGGAACACGGGAAAGACATGGCAGCCCGGAGCCCCACGGGC